AGAAAGAGAAAGAGAAAGAGAAAGAGAAAGAGAAAGAGAAAGAGAAAGAGAAGGAGAGGGAGAGGGAGACAGAGAGGGAGAAGGAGAGGAGAGTGAGACAGAGAGGGAGAGGAGGGAGAGAGATCTTCCATTTGCTTGTTCATTCCCCAGTGGCTACAATGGCCAGAGCTGGGCCAGACTGAAGGCAGGAGCCAAGAGCTGCATCCGGTTCTCCCACGTGGGTGCTAGGGTGTAAGAACTTGGGCCATCTGCCACTGCCTTCCCAGGTTCTTTAGCAGAGAGCTGGATCAGAAGTGGAACAGCCAGGACTTAAACTGGAGTACCCATATGGGATGACAGCACCGTAGGCAGAAGCTTAACCAGCTATGCCTCAGCACTGGCCCCACTAGTTTTATTCCTTTCTTTAATTCCTCAAAGCAAACATTTAAAGACATGTGTTTATATGAGAGAGAGGGAAACTATATTAGTGACTGAAAGATGCTGTTATATTTAGAAATTCCTTTTAATTTTAACCTTGGTTATAAGGTTCTTGGACAATGGAAGAAATATGCACAGCTGCTGGAATCCCTAATTATACTTACACCACTTTCCTTTCTACCACATCTAAGCTTTTTTCCTCCCAGAAAACATTGATTTAAGGTACCCAAACTTCAAGCATTTCATACATAAAACTTTAGGAACGTAGTGATTCTTCCTACCCTACCCACCCTCCCACCCACACTCCCATACCTCCTACTCCCTCTCCTATTACCATTCTTATTTTTTACTAAAATCTATTTTCAATTAACTTTATACACATACGATTAACTGTGTACTAAGTAAAGAGTTCAACACATATTACTAAAAAATGTTCCTCAACAGTAGAGACTAGGGCTGCTCAAAGTCACTGCATCTTACAGTGCCAAGTTCATTTCTGTAGTTTACCTTTCAGGTGCTCTATTAGTTACCTCAGATCGAGGAGAACATACGGCATTTGTCCTTTTGGGACTGGCTTATTTCACTAAGTATGATCTTTTCCAGTTTCACCCATTTTTTGTAAACAAAAGGATTTTATTTTTTTTCACTGTGTAGTAGTTCATAGTGTACATATCCCATAATTTCTTTATCCAGTCTTCAGCCGATGTCTGTCCTGACCTGAGAAATTTTCAGTCTTTGCAACTAAGATAGCCTAACCAAAGAAGTATCTAAGAGTGGATAAGCAAAAAGATTGCCTCCTTTGGGCATTGCCATGGTCCCTGTGCATTTACATATGTGTTTCACAGACTTTTCCTGACCCCAAACTTGTCATTAGCAGCTTGGGCTCTCAGCCAAGTTGCCTAGCCTTGAAGCTCCAGCACATACTGGCTCTTTGGCAAAGGATGAGTTACTTATCTGGTCTGTGTCTCAATTTTCCTATCAGTAAAGTGCAGATAGTAGCACTTGCTCCTAAAGATGGCCATTAAGTTAGTGAATTTTTGTAAAGTACTTAGAACATTGCTTATATATGGCAAATTTTGTATTGGATTTGCAGTGAAAACAAATGCAATTCAGGCATTTTTCTGCTCAGAAGTGAGAAAGTCACTGCCCAAGGTCAAAGAATTAATTATGTTGCATATCTGACTGAGCCCGGAACAAAACAAGATAAATAACAATGATAAAGGACTAATAACTTTAGAGACATTATTGGAAAAGCAGATTTTTAGTGAGGCTTCCTGTCATCATGGCTACTGATGCATTCTCATATCAATTTACCATTGACTTTATTTTATAGGTAATACAAAATCAAATTCCAGAACTGCCAATCAACATGTTCATTTGCATGTCAATTTACTTGGGGGCACTGCTGGTCTTCATAATACAGATAAGCAAATCAGCTGGCAAGTTTCTATTCTCATTAGAATTTTTATTGTTATTTAGTCTTTCCTGTATTGTGCGAGTTAAATTCCATAACTATTATTCTTTATTATTCTCTACTCTTTTCAACATAATGTTCTATTAAAAACATTTCAACTGATTTCCATTTTACCTGCATGACAGAAAAGCCACAACTTTATATTTTTCTTAGCTGTGGATTCATGTCTTAAGTAAACTGTTATTACTGAAGGGTCCAAACAAAGCTTTTAGCTGTGGCTGTCAAGAAAACTTTTAAATTGGTTTTGTAACTGTCACAGCTTCACTTTGGTGCTGTCATTATAATTAGGTTGTTTTTTGTCTGAATGTCTACATGTCCCTGTTGGTGCAGATTCATTAAAACAATCACTCACAATAGATTTTGATACACCATAATCACCATCCTTAGCTGGATTTCTCCAAAGTAATAACTTTCAAATATTAAATAAGAATGAAGGTGATAAGTATGTGTGGAAGCTAAATTTAAATATTAAAATCAGTAACTTCAGCCATAGAGTTGCTGCTGTTCGCATAGAGCACTTCAACTCCATTCGGTTCAGCCAGCGTTTGGAACTGCCAGCCCACTTCCTTACCAGAAAAGGCCTGGCCACATTACATTTATACCCACGCTTTTATCTGTAGGACTGTCCAACTTTGTACTGTCAATTTTTTGTTTTCTTATAAAAACTAATGTAATGGGAAATGTCAGTTAAATCAGTGATATAACATATTACATAACTTGAGGTTTCCATAACTGCTGATTTTATGTAGATGTAGAATCTCTCTCTGCATCTATATATCAATTTATCAAGAAGCATATATACATATATTTGTATACATATATAAGTGTGTGTATTATATGTATGTACATATATATGTATATGTAGTCCTATTTATACATACTTTGTATATGCCTTTTCACACCCTACAGAAGCACCATTATTTTAGTGTTC